CGTCTGAAGATTGTCTTGTATGTGTTCTCAATTTTAATATAAAGCCGCCTGTTTTACGATAAAAAAAGTTTTTCTCTCTCGAAAGAGGACATGGATAAAAATTCAATTAAAAAAAAGAAGACATCAAGTGAGGGAACCAAAACTATGGTGAGTTTCATAAATGCGAACTTTAATGCAATTAATTTTAAAATAAAAAAGATTTGTATGCGATTAAAATATCAAACTCATCTGTGACTGTTGTTCGAGAAGTTGGAGCTGATTCGGAACTACTTCAACTCCTAGGTAACCTCCCATGCACAAATCCACATTTGGAGTTACATCACTTTGAATTTAAGAACAGTCGATCCTGATGCCAAGGCCAGGATACCTTTTCACGAGCTCCATCATGAGTTTCCCAAATTTTCTGCCCAACATCAACCTCGAGCATATTCACATGTCTTGGTTCGTTGCGATGCAAAAATGGTTGTCCGTCACCGGCAGGTCGAAACCCTGAATGATGTCAAACGATAGGCTAGACGCTCGAACGATTGAAAGCTGGAATGCGCACCCACGGAGTATCCCTGTCTTGATGTTGAGAACACCATCACCTGTCCCGGACTCTGCTCCAACGGCGTGTCCCGCTGTCCTCCAATCGCCCGGATGAGGTGCTCAAAAGGAGCCCCAATTCGACAGAAATTGCCGATCAGGAGCTTCACTCCCAAGTCGCGGATCCCGTCCCTCTTGAAGGAACCATTAATTGATGATATACTCAGATCATAAGAGCATCCACATTGATGATCTTCAACTTTGCGATTTTTCATGGCTTATTATTGTCATGTCACCTCCACATAAGATAATCTCAAATAATCTCCACATCAATAAATTTGTCTTCATTCATGATCTTAATTTTCCTTGGATAGGATCATGAACATGCACGAACTACAAAGCTAGTCATTACCATAATTATGAGTATATGCCTAGAAGTTGGAAATAATCTCAAAATAATCCAGCTTCAGATTATTTTATCAAATAATCTCATAAAATAATCCCAACTCCTCATCCATGATCCCAAAAAAAGTCCTCCACATCATCAAAATGATCCCAAAAATGATCCATGGATGTGGATGCCCTAAGAGATGAAGAGGTATGCGGCGAGATGGGAAGAGAGATAGAAGTATGAATAGACGAAAGAGGTTGGCAGAACCTATCTAAAACCGAAACAAAAAATCAAAATTGATAACACAAAAGTTTAAAAATGAAAAGAGAAAATAAGAGGGACGTAAATGTTATGCTGCACATAAAAGCGGATTATGCAAGTAATTATCACTAAAAAATTGAGGGTGGGCCTGATATAATTATATACTCTCTTTGTCCTATTGAATTTTGCTAGCTTTTCCCTTCTGTTTGTCTAAAACACACTGTCACCTTTGTTTTAAAATAATGAATATGTGGTTCTCTTTATTTCTCCCTCTCCTCTACACAAATTTCAACCTCACAATTTTTACTATTCTTATTCCACATCCAAATTAAAGTAGGCAATGTTCAATGGGACAGAGGAATTATATAGTAGTTAAAAAATTTGAGAGTGGGCATGCACCCTCCCTGGCCCTAAGCCCAACCCATCCTTGAGTCTGAACCTGCCGAAGGCGATCGGTTAAGGATGTACCTTCCAAGTTCGGTATTTGCCTCGGTGGCCATTGAATTAAAATTACTACTTGATCCATCCATTACAGCTTTGTCAAGCTTGACATATAGTCTGATGTTTGATGATCGTGTTTCCCGACTTATCACTCTTATCAACCATTTTTTCATCAAATACGTAACTTTTTATATATCAAAATGTTGAATATATAAAAAAGTCATTCAACACTCTTCTTCTTTATTCTAGGTTAAATATTAGTTCTAATTTATAGTTGCAATATGAGGACTAAGATTTAAACCAAATTAATTAAGTTGTAACACTACACACATAAATAAAAAAGTCACATACACTACATTACTTAAATTAATAGTCATTAATCACTTTTATAACTTTCATTTTTCTATGTGTACTAAAATATTACATAAATTATTTAAAAGAAAAATATAATAGAATTTATATAATAACTAACATTTAATCATTTTATGGATGCAAACATATATACATGGGCTATGAAATTATTGTCTTGAATAAGAGATTTTTTTGAAAGGAAAATAACTTATATTAAATCAAACGATCCAGAACAACAACAATATCCCAAAATTTAAACCCCCCTCTATCCATCCAAAATCAAAGCCCATCGCCCCCCTCACATCATGATCACACATAGAATAGTCCACCATAGGAATAACGAGGCTAATCGTTGAATTTGTGAGAGCATAGAGGCTATTAGCGGTTGAATCAGCCTGATTGCCTCAAAGCAGTAATCTATCAACTAAAACAGATCAAAGTATCAATCTACTCCCTTATTGTTTGTCATAGGAGGAACAAAATAGAAATAGTGAAATAGTTTGGTCTGAAAATAACAAACTAGAAATAGTAAAACAGTCTTCCAAACCCTAGTCGCACGGTTCCTCCATGGTGGTGGTTTAAGAGGGGGACAAATTTTCATCCTTTCATCTTCTTCCTTCATAACTTTGATCTGCCCGTGAGCCACCTCCTTCTCTTGGCCAAAGTGTTGCACGAACACAACCAATCCGAAAGCGAGCAATCTCCACATCCTCGTTGCCGATACGTGAAGCTAGATGGGCCTATGCTATTCAGCCCCAATCATAGATGCCTTCCTTTCGTCTGGTTTTGGTTCATCACGACTATTAAATCGAGAGAAATTAAACCCCCCGGGCTGATTTAGATCGCCAACGCAACTGACGTGTGATACTTTGTCTGTCTCCAATCACGATTGAACTCCTGAGCGAATGAGCGATCGATCATCCATCAGTATAGATCCATACCTGGAAGCCTAAAACCCATGCCGCCGGAAGTCCCAACACTGTCGACACCGCCGACACCGCCGTTCTCCAACCTTACACTAGACGATTGCTAGACCGTCCACTTTTTGAGTTGACTTGGTTTGAATAAGAGATTTATTTAAAGGTAAAATATAACGTCTTACACTAAAAAAACGTTACTGTATTTTTTAACTGTCCTATATGTTATTTAAAAAAAAAACTATCCCATATTTATAGGTTCTCAAACGGTATAATTTTAAGAAAAATGTTTAAGGTACACATGGTGCACACAAAGTGCACATATAAAAGGTCCCAAAAAATCCCATTTCACTCTTCCCCTTCTCTCTCCACTCTCTCTCCCCCCTCTCCCTTGTCTTTCCTCTTCACCGAACCCATTCGAATATCTAAAAAAATGAGAGATCATCTTCTCTTCCCTTCTTCGTCCTCCTTTTCTCTACCTTTTCTATACCAATTTTTTTCATTGTTTGCACAAAATCAACTTATTTATCTTATTTCATCTAATTTTATTTTTTTTATATTTTTTTCAAAATACATGTAAATTGATCACGCAAACAACTACATCTTGTGGCGGACCCAGAGTTTTTGTTAAGGAGGGGCACTATAAAATGGATAGAAATGGGCCGGGTCTGGTCACGTCGGGTGTGAAATGGTCTATTTTGTCTCGTGCAGATAATTTTTTTAAAGGAAATAATTTATTCAATGTCGGTTCCAAGGAATGTACACCTATGATTTATAGATCTAGCTTCAACCTATTAAAACAATTCTGAAAAATAATATTCATTTTTTGAAAGAAAGACATGTCATGGATTACAATTGAATCATCATTGCACTGTTTATAATTTTCATACTACCTCCGTCCCGGTGGACTTTGCCAAGTGCAAAGTAGGTGAGAAATAAGAATAGTAAAAACTGTGTGGTTGAAATTTGTGCAGAGGAGAGAGAAATGTGCGAAACCACAAATTATTTGCTTTAATAGGAAAGTGACAAAGTTTTTTGGGACAACAAAAAAGGAAAGTTGACAAAGTCCAATGAGACGGAGGGAGTATTATAAACAATCAAAAGTTAATCTTTACAATTATGATCGTGTCTAACTGTAAGCAATCATTCCATCATATTCATAGTCACTTAAATGTCTTATGACAATGTACATATACTCTCTGAAGAGATTAGTAGCTCATTTAATAGTTATACAGAGTTTTTTTATCTGGATAAGTGGGACTTTATTGTCCTAAGTACTTATACTAAAGTTCGGATCGAAAGCGGGGGTACTTGCCCCCGAGGACCCCCCTAGGTCCTCCACTGACTACATCATTCATTTGAATATATAAGGCAATTAAATATTTCGTTCACCCAGACAATTGAAATTGATCACACCGACAACTAAAGTTGATCACACAGACAACTATTGTCTGTGAAACGCACACCTATTGTCTGTGTGGCAAATACTATCTGTGCACACAAACAAATAATTATTTATGCAACATGAAAATATTGTCTGTGCACATAGGCACTGCAGATATATTGATTGATTTGCAAGCTGATGTCAATGAGACGACTATCAATGTACTTTTTACAAAAAAAGTAAATGTCTGTTAACACAAACAAAAGTTGTATATATATACAAAGACAACTCTTGTGTGTGCCGAGTTTAATGCACCAAACCCCCTCGTGTTATAGATATTTAGCGCATTAGCCTCTTGTGATTTGAAAAATGCGTCAAACCCCCTTGTGTTTTAATTAATCATGCACGTAACCCCTTTTATGAATAAATTTAACGATTTGAAAATCATTTTTCCAAATATTCTAATTGAATATGCAAGTAAATATGTCAAAATCTCTAAATCATACATAAATATTAATCATTTTTCTTGTATTTGACAATTGAATTTGTTCATAAAAGGGATTTTGCGCATAATTAATTAAAACACAATGGAGTTTGGTGCATTTTTTAAATCACATAGGTCTAATGCGCCGAATTTCCATATCACAAGGGAGTTTGATGCATTAAACCCGTGTGTGCCCACTGATAATTCCATATTAATCATGTGTGACTGACATTTTGTATACGCACAATTTGTGTACCCCAGGATTTCTGTAATTTTAATTCGGGATTCTTTACAACCATTTATGAACCATTGAACCAGTTCAGTTCACCCTGCCTCCAACCGAAGGGGCGCCATTAGCCACCCTAAATTAGCATAGACATTGCCAGGGCCTAGGGAACTCCAAGTACTACACAGCAATCGATGGCCGAAGTAATGGATGCGCCTGTCGAAGGCGTGGATCGCCGTCGTGAACGGAGTAAGGACAAGTCCGCCGACGAGCTCGAGCCTCCTCCTCCACCTCCTCCGCTACGGCGAGGCCGTGACCGGGACTCTCGGGAACGGAGGGACGACAGGGACTCTGACAGAAGAGGTAGCCGAGGGGACTACTCCGACCGTAAACGGTCCCCTCCGCCCCCGCCGCTTCGGGAGCGTGACTACAAGCGGAGTCGCCCTAGCTCCAGCCCTCCCCCACCCTACCGTGATCGGCGAGGCGGCCGCTCTCCCCCCTCACGACGCTCGCCACATTATTCTTCCAAGCGCTCTAGGAGAGATGAGTATGATGGCCGACGTGGAAGCCCTAGAGGAGGATACGGACCTGGTGAACAGAGGTCAGTATTGTTCCATGTTTCTCTATATAGCCCTCTAATATGTGGCCCAAAACTACCATGACGACCCAAAAACACCAGGAGCATGGAAGTATAAAGCAGAACATAGAAGTGAGCTGTAGAGAGGCCGTAGGTAATGTTAGATAGAAACAAATAATGGCAATGGGTCTAAACTGACTCCTTGCCCACTCTGCTGCCAACTGCGTTTCTACAATGATCGGATCAAGTGCAATACACACATGTACCTTAGGAGTCCAGTTGAAATGGATAAAAAGCAGGGTTGCATAACTGATATCAGAAATCTGAACTACATTGCATTGGGTCAGGCTTTTAAGCTTTTTTGTTTCTTCAAAAATGAAATTAGCCAACATGGCAACATCCTTATCATATAAGGAAGCAGGCCAAATGGCTTCTGCCCTTACATGAGTAACTAATTGTGATGCCATCTAAGGGGCAAGAGAAAATTCCTTACTAAAAAACACAGGTTAAATGCACAAATAGGACTACCATTGTTTTTTTTCTTAAAATAAGACGCATTCACTTCTATTTGAGGAAGTTTTATACTTTTAATAGGATCAAATAAGTCATATTATGGGAATTAAACATAAGTACTCATATTTGTGCATTTTGTCTATGTTTTAGTCCTATTTGGAGCAATTTCTTTAGGCCTACTTTCGCTTTACAATAAGTAAAACTACAACTTTTGACCTCACTTGATTTTTTCTGTGTCAATGGGCATAGTATTGGAAATCATTTTGCTTGTGTTTCCTGCATTGCTCATTTTTAGATACTTGCAAGTTTCTCTAATGCCTTACTACATACTTTAGGGCCAGCCTAATTTGAGCATAAAAACGGCCACTGTGTACATTGTAATGTTTTTATAAAATACAGAGTAGTATTTTTCATAGCAATTCAATGAACAATACTAAATTTTGTTTAAAATGAAATAATGAAAATGTACTTGCATAATGAAATAACATACACCATCATGCTCCATATAATATAACTAATTAAATACCACAACCTTACATTTTTACCCAAAAGCACCGAACATTCAATATAATCAAGACGTTAAATAATAAATGAACTGCTTATTTGTTGGATTTTGTTACAATGCAGTGCAAAACTATACCAATTTCAATAAAAATGTAACATAAAATATACTTCCTCTTTTCCTTTTTAATTGCAACGGTCCACTTTTCTCGTTTACCAATGCACAAGTCTGACCATTAATAACTTTCACTCTTTATTATTAAAATGAGATGATTTTAAGAATATTTTTCAAAAATTTAATATATAATATATTTATAAATAAAATGTAATCAAAGTATAGTATGTGAATAGTGCAAAATTCACCAATGTTGCAACTAAAAAAGAACGGAGGTAGTATTTGGTAGTTTAGATGCCCCTCTCCATCCCCAAAATGTCATGTTTGAAATTTAGAATTAGGCATAACTTTTTTCTTCTATTCAACATAACCATGATTCAAAATTTAACAATTTATGTTTGACCACTAATACCATTTAAATTTTCACTCGCATTAACAAAATTATTTGTAGTTGACCTTTTTCCAAGAGTATGAATGATTGGTTTTGCTAGAACTTACTTAAAAATCTAACTTGGTTCTTAAAGTGTTTTTTGCGGCTCTAATTATGAAACATGTTTTTTTGGAATCGAGTACATTCTAATCTAGCAATAAACAAACAAACGAGTATTGTGCTATTATACACGTTTGTGTGTGTGTGTGTGTGTGTTTATAGTAGCTTTGTTGGACCTGAGGCAAGGCCTCATTGACCTCAACTAGAGGCACTGCTTTGCATGTAAGTACAAAACATTTTGGTTTTCAGATTTAGTGGTGAGCATGACGATCCAATAGGCCATGAGCGTGAAATGGGGGGAAGGCATAGACATCCAGATGAGAGGTCGCATGGTCGATATGTTGGGCGTTCTTCTGGTGGGTTCCCAGGGTTTATTTAAAAAAAGTATGCACTTCATATTGTATCTCATGCACTCATATTCTACCTAGTTTTTCCTGAAAAGATTTTACAACCATCCAAAAGGAAAACTGTCCATTTCTATTTACTATTTTAGGAATCAATGAATTTGGTATGCTGTTTTCCAATTCAAATGTCTGAAGTGGTCATTTAAATATTCTTTTACTATTTTTATTATTCTGTTGCTATACATAGAAGGATGGGTTTTCTTATTATAAAAATAAATAAATAAGTATACCATTCACTTTAATATTTTCTCTTTAATAAGTGATTATAGGGATAAAGAGTTTACTAAGTTAGTTTGATCCCTTGTGTATTTTTGTTCTAGACTCGGGTTCTGGTCGGAGTGGATATGGTGATGCTGTTGTATCACGAGGTGCCCAAAGGTATTTCCTTTGAATATGCATTTATTTACAGTGTCCAAGACGGTTGGACCTTCAAGCATCTTTCTTCTTAGTATTATTATTTCACATCTTCAATACTCCCCCCTTTCCAGGTTAAGGTTCTCACTTGCCTTTCCTAGACGCCCCACTTTAAGGTTCCCATTTCTATTTTAGGAAATAATTGATGCCCTTTAATGACAATTTAATCATCAAATAATACTCCTATAACATCACAATTATCATCAGTTTCCCCATTATATTGTATACCCACCCAAACTACTTCTCAAAATATACTGAAATAATGCCATTTAATTACTGTCCAAAAAAGTAAAAAAACCATGTCATTTCTGGATGAGAGCCTTAAGCCGGGACAAAGATAGTAGCATCTTGTCCCAGCAGAAGACATGTCTAATTGTTAACTGCATCCAGGATTCTAGGATCCCAGTGTATTTCAAGGAAAGCGGCGTCATTGAGTATATTTTTAAATTCATTACGTTTTCTTGTAACAAGTGAGCAATAATTTTCGTTTTCATGGGGTAACATAGATTCTTATCTATCCTTGCCTGTTACTTTGGGTTTCACATGCACACCAATCTCTGCACTTGTTTTATACATGAAAAAACTTAAGGCATACTATTGACAATCCCAAATATGCACAATTAGGGAAGTTCTCTACCTCATCATTGCAAAGGGCTGTTTGTGCCATTTTTTCGAAAATGCTTCAACTGTAATAAAAAAGATTTCTACTTGATGGATCTACAGAGAAGGATTGAAGTCATATAAACAGTTCATTCAGGAACTTGAAGATGATATCTTGCCAGCTGAAGCTGAGCGCAGGTTAGAATGTGCATGATTTGTCTTTGTAGATCAGCTGTTTCATCTCATGAACTCAAAATGGATATCTGATTCAGAGCAAAATCCCTTTAATGGACTGCTCTCACATAAAACAATGACATGATCATGGTCTGTTCATAATGCAGGTATCAAGAATATAAGTCTGGATATATAGAAGCCCAGAAAAGAGCATATTTTGATACACATAAAGCTGAAGAATGGTATATATATTCAACCTTAAATTCTCCTTTTATTTTCCACTCTGTATGTTTGTTGCTTTTCATGATGTTTTGCCTACAACAGGTTAAAAGACAAGTACCACCCAACAAATTTGGTCACTGTAATAGAAAGGTATGTTCTGCATGTTTATGACGGAAGTTTGATAGCATGAGTATGACATGTCTCTGAATGCTTTTATTAGGTGTTTTCTTCAACTTTATTGTGGTTTTATGGACATCCCCATCTTTCCTCTTTGATCTTCTTAGGAGAAAGGACCATGCACAGAAACTAGCAAAAGATTTCCTTCTTGATTTGCAAAGTGGAGCGTTAGACTTGTAAGACATGTTATCCTGTCTTCAACTAGATCCGCACTACATGCTTAGTATTTTGTTTTTTGTTACTACACTAATGTTACTGTTTTTGCGTGTGAAATAGAGGCCCTGGTGTTACCCCTACACCCTCAAACAGGACAGAACAGCCCAGTAACCCCAATACAGATGATGAAGCAGAGGGTGCTGACAAAAGAAGACGGAAAGGAAGGGGATCATCTAAAGATGCAATGTTATTTTCAGATGCTCCAAAGGCTCACCCAGTCAGTTCTGAGCCCAGAAGAATTCATATTGACATTGAACAAGCACAAGCACTTGTGTCAAAGCTTGATTTGGAAAAGGGAATTGAAGAAAACATATTATCCCGGTCTGATAATGATGTAGCTGGCAGGGACAAGAGCCATGGCAGTTCCTCTGGCACAGTTGTTATAGTGAGGGGGTTAACTTCAGTTAAAGGTCTTGAGGGACCTGAGCTTCTAGAAACTCTTCTAACCTATCTCTGGCGCGTTCATGGAGTGGATTATTATGGTATGACTGAAGCAAATGAAGCTAAGGGCCTCAGACACGTCAAATTTGATGGCAAGATTTCTGACACAAATAGTAATGGGGCAGATTGGGAAACAAAACTAGATTCGTATTGGCAAGAGAGGCTGAACGGACAAGATCCCTTGGAGGTCAGAACAGCCAAGGACAAGATTGATACAGCTGCAGTAGAAGCTTTAGATCCATATGTGCGCAAAATTAGGGATGAAAAGTATGGGTGGAAGTATGGTTGTGGAGCGAAGGGTTGTACAAAGCTCTTTCATGCTGCTGAGTTTGTTCATAAACACTTAAAGTTGAAGCACACAGACTTGGTGTTGGAGTTAACCTCTAAAGTGCGTGAGGATTTATACTTCCAGAATTACATGAGGTAAGTGCAATTTGTGCAAAGTATCGTGCAATTATCATGAATTGCATAATGATGCTTATTATTTTACAATTTTTTAGCGATGAGAATGCACCTGGTGGGACGCCTATTATGATGCCCTCTCTGTCGGTATGTTTGTATTACAAGTTTACAACTATTATCACCTTGATTATATAGTTTATGTTTCAGCTTTCAAGCCCTGCAATTTTTAAAGATTGCGCTCTCAGTTTACTTTTCTCCTCTTATCCACCTACCATAATGTTTGTAGTCTTACAACATAGATCTCATGTGTGGTTTGAGGAGATAGCTTTGTGGTTCAATTGTACACTTTGCATGTGGAGTGTAAGACATGACTGGCTTTAAAATATGGATCCTTGGTGGCTTGGTGATAGGAATGTGGTTTTGGTGCACCCCCTTAGTGCCTTTGATAGCATTCTTCCTTATTCATCATCATCATCATCACCTTAATATCACATTTCACCTATATTCGGGTTGGTGGCCTGAAGTTTATTGTGTGAAACTTTCAAATAAAATATTAATTCCTAAAATATTAATAAGCAATGGTTAAAACAAAGTTTATCCCCGTTGTCTTTCTTGTCAGATTCTGCTTATTAAGGAATAATGAAATGAAAATTTGAAAACCGTCTCATAGGTTTTTTAACTGGAAAGAATCATGAGGTGTCAATAAGTGAGCTATTTGTTATGACCCTATCCATCATGAAAATGATATTGTAAAATCAAGATGCACACTGGAACATGCTTCATTATTGATTAGAGAAATAATGCTGCTGTTGGTTGGTGATGAGTTGATTGAGTTTTAATGCTTACGGGAGGATTGCTTTTATTATCACAGCCTGAAATCATTTCTTTATTGTAAATTTTGTTTAATGGAGAGTTTTAGTTATCTAGATAAATTTTGTTATATAGGTCAAGAATTTTAGTTGCTCTTAGACATAATCCCGGGGCTTCTTGTGGATTAATTGGAAATCCATCTGTACAAATCTCCTTGAAACTAGGAATTGGGTAATAAGTGTGAACTATGTGAAGCCATGAAAACAACATGCTAAGTTTGCGGAAGATTTCATTGCTTTCGGTTTCCATGATTATGCAATTTAGCTCTTTTGAGATTTTACTTCCCTTTCATGTATTGTAATTCTTCCATGACATGGAACTATGGAAGACCCACTTTGGTTCTTGGTATGTTGATTGAGCTTTCAGATATTGATTGTTTGTAAAAACTCTATCATTAATTCTCCTCATTTTTTGGTATTATGCTGTATCTCATGAAGTGTCTGAATGGCAATGCAGAAAGAAAAATTGCAGAGGCAAAGGCCTAGTATAGAAAGCCGACTTAAAGATGATAGAGGTGACCAACGAGAACGTAATGGCCGCCGTCTAAATGGCAGTGAAAGATTTGACAGGTCTGAGAATCCACTCTCAGAAAACCAGTCCAAAGATGATGATGGAGGCCATCCAGATGATCAAATGTTTGATTCATTTGCTGGACATGGGATTCCTGTTGCTGCTTTTCATTCAGATATAGCCCCTCCCCCTGTGCTGATGCCTGTACCCGGAGCTGGGTATTTTAAAATATGTTTTGCAGTTTCAACTCCACTTCAATAATATTTAGCAAGCTTTGATTCTAATTCCACTGTTTCCTGGCTTGCTAATAACTTTCAGACACCTTTCACTTTCTTTGAATAATCCAACCTTTGTTTGTTTCTTTTTGGTATCTTTCCATCATATGCAATGGAGGCAAAGACTCACTATTTTTTTGGCTTGCGAACATGCTGGAATAAAGCAAAGTGAATCACTTAACTGTCTGCGCTTCTATGTTATGAAGCAGCAGTCAGTCCATGCAATTTTTGACGCGATTTTCACTATGGGTCATCCGGAAACAGTCTCTCTGTGTAGTACAGGTATAAGACTGCGTACATCCGACCCCCCTTACCCCACCGTAGGTGTGAGCCTTTGCGGCACTGGGGTAATGATGATGATGATGTCAACGGATTATCTTCTAAATCAGATTCTCACTTGAAAAATGACCTGTATTATGAGGGTATTTGGAATGGCTGGGTTATTCTCTAGGAAGTGAAAGGTGGTACTGTGGTAGTCTCATAAGGTGATCAGGAAAAGGTTGGGTGATTGGAATCAATTTTTTCTACTATTTATGTGTTACAACTTATTCTGCTTTATAATTGTCTTTATATAGTCCCCTTGGGCCATTTGTTCCTGCACCTCCTGAAATTGCGATGCAAATGTTTCGAGAACAAGGCGGTCCCGCTCAATTTGAAGGAGGTAGAAATGGTAGGCAAGGGCATCGTATGGGTGGACCATCCCCTATCATTGCTTTACCACCAACTCTTCGACAGGATCCTAGGCGCTTGCGAAGGTAACGTTCATTTCCATCTGTTCAGTACTTTTATATTGATGCATTCATTTCTAAAATTAGTGTCAGCTATCAAGTACTGTTCGCTGGTTATATGCACTTATATATAGGTAATATAGCATACATGTCCAATCTGGTACTCTTTTGTTATTAATGCAATAACTAAATCAGACGCAACACAAGCTAACAGGATTTTGATGACATGATTTGGCTGCCATTTTGACTAGGTTCTGAGAATTTAGCGCTTCTAATTCCTTCTAAATTCATATTTTCTATTTCCAAAATCAGCTGAGTACAATAGCATAGAAGCGCTACCGTCTTGGGGGCATAGACAGATAGACTCCAATCAGAAATCACACCTTTGAAACTCAAGACTATTTTCTTATTTTGGCTCTTTAGTAATAAGGCCTTATTTAGGATTCCCTGTCCCTCAAAACTTTGCTAAGTTTTCTTATTTAGCCATCCCCAAAAACTGTCATTTCTGCATAAACCTCAACCACTCTGTTTACGTAATTATTTAAAGTGCAAATCAACTTTGGCCAAGTTATATGAAATGAAGAGTATTATCTTCAGGACATCCCTTCATTCCTGGCCTATGGTGAACTGTGGAATAATATTTATTTGCTTAGAGTACTCCCAATTTGGGTAAACAATTTGAAAATGCGCTTTTTGGTTCGAAAAAATTGTAGTTTCTAAACCATAGTCACATGGATCGCGGTACGTTCCGGAACGTGGAACGAAAACGGGATCGTGGATCACAAATATTTGAAATCCGGTATGCAGGGGGGTAGGCTGCTTCGGTAAGCTATTTCGATACACGGTATGGTACGGATCGAAAAGGAAAGTGAGGCAGTTCTTTTGAAACAGAGGGAGTCATATACAATAAAATTAAAGAGGGAAAATGAGTTTTTTTTGCAAGTCAGTTTGATCAATAAATAACAAAACGCGAAACCACCATTTGTTGCTTCTTTGCCGTTGGGAGTGCTGAGCTTTAAGACCCGACATCAAAACATCTGCCGAACACATAATTATACGGTATTCCGCTTAAAATACGATTGGGACACATAATTCTCTCAAAATACTAAGCCAAACAGCCCTTTAGTTGGATGTTGAAAAAACGGTCTTAGTGATTGTATTCTATTCAGCTCTCTAGTTTTTTTGTTTGAACAAATTTTGTCTGATTATCCTATACTAAGTATTACTCATAAATTTTGGATTGACCAGTAAGACATGTACCTATTTAATGTACTTGATTCTGAGAAGCAAAATCTGCCATTCTTAGCATCAAACATACTAACCATCTCTCAGTCTCTCTTTGTTGAAGCATTATTGGCATGTAATTACATAATTTTTAATTAATTTACAGCTATCAAGATCTTGACGCACCTGAAGATGAAGTCACTGTGATAGATTATCGGAGTTTGTAGATTATTGAGGTTACTGTAGATCTTGACTCACCGTCCTGTTATGTTTCACTAATCCAGTAGGGCTGATTTAAGGGTTTGTCCCATTAGTAACAATTTTTCCTCGCTTGTTATGGATTATATTCTTGCTTGTAATAACATTATCCTCTATAAGGCAGTTATTCAATATTGAGGGGCATTTTGTTTGGGTCAAATAAGATTTTTGAGGCAATATTACCATTTAATTTATTTTGGACACAGAACAGGTTATCACAGATTCATAGGGCTACTCTCACACAGGCTTTTAATATTTTGTTGTGAACCGAGAAGCTGCTTCTTATCTTCATATTAAATTATTAATTCGTGTTCATCTGGCTAAAGTAGCACACTAGCACCCCAAGTCCCCAAAAAAGAAAACCAAAAAAAAAACCAAAAAGAAGTATAGAGACGCTCACAAGGATTTTCTTTTTTTTTTCAAAAAAGAAAACCAAACAACTACCCGGAGTTCTGAATGCCCCAGCTTTTCTGTTATTATACCACGTACATAATAATAAAATTATATGAATAAAGTGGGTATTTAAAGATCTTTTTTCAAATTACAAACTTAAAATAAACACTAACCCTTTAAAAAATGATTACTGAAGACTGGTGGGGACGTGGTTGTTTTACTAAAACGGAGGGATTTTGGGAAGAGGGAGTTCAGCGGCCTGCGGCCATGATTATTCAAGCATTTTATTACTTTAATTGTTCAGTTAATAGATTCACACGATTACTCATTTACTGCAATCAAACTCAGATCAGTGTCATGCCATCACAAATTTAATTAGAAGAAAATGAGACATACAAGTATACAACAAATCTAGATATTGGCATATTGCAATATACGTGGTATTAGTGTATTACAATTGCACTTCAGTGACTTCATTAAGGGATTAGAGTATGCACCGCATTTTCATTCACAATTTGTGTTCGCATCGAATTTGTTAAATGGCGGTAGAAAGTAGGGCTGAGCACGGATCTGGAAATTCTCGTTTCGTACCGAGAACTGTCTCAAACTGTATCAGAATAAAACAAAACGGAAAAATATAACGTCGTACCGTACAATATCGATTTTTTTTTTAATAATATGATATGGTATGGGTTGGCAAGTGAGAACCATCCCAAACCCGTCCTAAAATCATATTGAACCGGGGAACCGTCCCAAACTGTCCCGGATCGTCCCGTAAAATTGGTTATACAAAATGATGTATACTCAATATATATACTAGTATTATATTATTTATTATATTAGCAAACAATCTAGATTGTGGTTACTCAAATCTTTGGTATAGACTGTCTAATGCACACACTTTGGGCCCTTAATACAATTATTTAGAGTACTAAGTTTTATAAATAATACTAGTAATAACTCTGGTACGGAATATGTAAACTTAGTCCATTGCCTTTCTCATTTCCCTTTCTCCTATTTCCAATCAACAGCTGGGGATGGGGTGGATTGTAGAGCAGATCTAATGATCAATTCCATCAAGTCTATACAGTTCAAGCAACTTCTCACTCAAGCTATTACTCTCGGTATGATCGTTACTTCTGCGTTGATTATATGGAAAGGGCTAATGTGCATAACTGGCAGTGAATCACCAGTGGTGGTTGTTCTCTCCGGAAGTTTGGACCCTGGCTTCAAAAGGGGTGACATATTGTTCTTGCGTATGACTGAAGATCATGCATATTCGCACGGGAGAAATAGTTGTGTTTAATGTTGATGGTCGTGAAATTCCAATCGTCTACAGAGTGACAGAATGAAATTCCATGAGCGCCAAGATACCAGAGAAGTTGATATACTAAGAACTTAATTATGTTTATATTTTGCTTGACTTAATTTTACATAGAGATGTTAGAGTTCTTGGGAATATGCTCGAACACACATTCTGTATGGTTGTCAATTTTTGATCATTATGTTAGAGACTTTAAAAGTCATATCATATAGGTTATGTAATGAACTAAATAGAAACCATTATTATACTAGCCATGTTGATTTTGAGGGAAAAAATGTAAACTTAGTTTAGTTACTTTGACAACAACCTCGATTGCTTTGCATCCTCCCAAAGATCAGAACTATAGTTTTATTATAGTTTGAGTACTAGCTCTGCATTTCAGCTAGGTTTGATTGCACAAGGTTAGTTTAACGTACAATTTTCAATTTTGCAACCCCTTCTCTTAAATTCTTGTACAGTTACTTATAAATATTAAAACCTAAAATATTTTTGACTTCGTGAGAGTTAATTATTAAAGAATTGAATAGTGCTAGAAAACCGTATCAAACCAAACCAAGTCATACTGAAAATTGACACATAATGAAACATGTTCTATATATATTCAGAACGATACTAGTTCTTGATTTTCCAAAGAACCATATTTTGGGACGAGACATGTTTTTCAAAATAACTGTCGTGTATTGTCCCACGCTCACCCCTAGTAGAACGTATACCGGGAAGAAAACTAGAACTTTTAACTTGTACATCTAATCTTCTATATGTGTTCCTCGTACTTTTTGTCTGATTATATACAGCTCTGCCGTACCAATTTTTTGAATGTGACATTGTTTTATTGCCCAACACTCTACGCCATACATTAATACAGACTTAATTGTCGTCGGATAAAACTTACTAGACAATCTAGTCGGCATACCCCGATCACATAGAAGTCCTGATGCGCTCTTCCATTTTCATCCACCCTGCTCTAATTCTATGGGATACATCTCCCGGAAACTCACCATCCTTCTAAATCATGGAGCCCAAATATAATAAAGTAACATGTCACACACCAATATCTCCTTGCCATTAAGAATAATCTCAGTGTTACTACTATTTCTACTTTCACCAAACTTGGACCCCATATACCTAGTCTTGCTTCGACTCAGTCTGAAACCATTGATCTCCAATAATGTTTGTTGTCATATTTTCAACTTTGCTTTAATACTCAATTGTGTCTCATCAGTCAAAACAATATCGTCGGTGAACAGCATGCACCACGGTATATATAACATCTTGAATGGACTTCGTTGCTTCATCCATGACTATGGCAAATGAGTAGGGACTCAAAGCCGATCCTTGGTTCGACTCATATACCCAATCTTGCTTCGACTCAGTCTGAAACCCTTGCTCTCCAATGCTTTTCATCATACTTCCAACTTTGCTTTAATACTTGATTGTGTCTCATCAATAAATACAATATCGTCGGTGAAAATCATGCACCACAATGTATCTTCTTGAATCGACTTCGTAACTTTCCATGACTATAGCAAATGAAAAGAGACCCAGATTCGACCCTTGGGGCACTTCGGTAGTAATAGAGAACTTTGTAGTCCTCCCTACCCTACTACGGACACTTGAACTACAAGCCACATACATATCCATGATGATATTAATATTTTAGGAAGAACCTAAAAATGTAACATATAGGGCAAACATTAATTACATTTCTACCCCGCCCTAATATAATTAAATTTCCCTACTTTCCTTGGATAATCGAGGTCAGCTTGTTGGTGGCAGAGCAGTCTGGTGGCAGCGGCAGACTGACGATGGCGACTGGCAGTGGCAACGGAAATATGATGGTGATAGAATGCTGGAGATAGGCATCAACGGCGGAATTCGGACGATAAGGTCACTCTCCAAAACATTTCCAGATAGAATGCTGAAAATAATTATGTATATTTGTCCAAACACACATAATTACTTCTATTTGGGGGATTCACTCTTAGAAAGCGATCAAACCTATCATTTAACCGGTTTTTGACCTATTGTAGCAAATTATTTTTAAAAATATCTAAGAAAATTATAAAAGATTGAAAAATAGAAAAATACCGTAAAAAATATAATAATGTCAAACTCTATATGTAGTATTTTTTAAAATTATGTGTATATCCTACGTCTTTTTAAAAGTTTTTACATTTTCATATTTTTAATTTATTTTTATTTTAACGTTTTAAAATTATTTCATTTTTCTATTTCTTATATTTTTTAACTTATACTCCGTATAAGTTTTTTATCAATTTTATAATTTTTCTTACTTAATTTATATTTTTAAAAATAATGTGCTATAACATGTCAAATGACTGGATTGACTATATTTTCAATATAAGTGTGCCGGATTTGTTTTATTATATATACCCAATTGATAAATTTGAAACATCAAAAGTCTATTTAAATTATTTCCTCAATAACTTTATGTTCTAAATGATAGACGTAGGAAGACGACAATGACAAAGCTTCTTGGAACTGTTTTTCACATTCCTATTAATATCATTGATAGTGTATATGTGTCCATACCCTATGGCCCACATACTCAGAAGGCAAATACAAGGGCCATGACACTCAGATGGCCCTCCTTCGATCAAACTCTATCATCTCAGAATATAGCCCGGAAGCCCAGGAGCAGATGATTGGTCCTCCATCAGCCAGGTCCTCCATCGGCATGGTCCCTCTTCGGCCAAGTTAGTTCCAGCAGAGTAGATTTTATACATAGCTCCAAAATGCCATGTAATCAACCTATTAGTGGCCCCATTTTGTATCGGGCCTCCCAATCTCCTATGACACAAGTCCTGGGAGCCCAACCCACATTTCCTCTATAAATACTCCCATAAGAGATAGTTGTAGAAATTGAGAAATATTAATTACAAATTTTCTCTCTCTAGCTCTGACTTTTCACTAGATTAAGGGGGTGTTTGGTTAGCGGCGGATTAGCCAATTTTTGGCTATTTTGACCTTGATTTGGCTTTTTGACTAAATTCATCAGCTAATAATGTGTTTGGTTAAATAAATGGCCTTTTCATTTGGTTTTTTGTCCTAAACAGCTAAAATTGAAAAAGCTAAGAAATATAGCTTTTGGGTTTGGCTTTTCCACAATATTATTAATTTACCCATTTATTTTTCTTCCCGAAAATACAGTACTTATTATTACTTTTTTTGTTAGATATTCTTTTAAAGGATTTGTTTTTTGTTAGATGACAATTCTTAACATAATTTAAGTTATAAATATTTATTAATAAATTTATAAAAACATGAAAATATTAAAAGAATCGTTATTTGCAATTATCATTTTTATTCTTTTTAATATTTAGTAAATAATAGTGATCTAAGTAGTCATAATTTTGTACGGAGTATAATATTAAAAAATACGGAGTATGATACAAAATAGTCCAATTCCAATTTCACAATCCTCAGACCTTCATCATATGCATATCATAATTATAACATCCT